CGAAAGGAGAAGCGGCGATGGAAGATGAAGATGAAGATGAAATAACCCGTAGTAGGACGCGCATTTTTCCGCAGGAAATTCAAACCATTTGAATTTTAGCGTTTCAACAATGGCAGCTGTCTATGCCGGTTTGCGAACGAGAACCGTCGATTCAGACACCAGGATAATTAACATGCGTCGAATATAACATACCTAGCCTCGCTTTTTCAGGCTGATTCTTCGTAGCCAGTAAATATTTTGGACTTTCCGGACAGAAAGGCAAAAGAATTAGCTGAAAAATGGCCGGTACGGCGGTGAATGCTATAACATGTGACAAAAAAATGATGAAACAATTGTTAAAAGAAGGTTACCAAGCGCAATGGGCCAAATATGTTCATTCCCCAACACTTGATTCATGCTCAGCACTTGAGCGACCAAAATCGCAATCGCTGAAACAAGCTGATTGACACTGCCTAACATGCCTCGCATATTGATCGGCGAAATTTCCGTCAAGTACATTGGACACAGAGCGCTATTAAGCCCTGTAATCGAGATATCAGATATCGAGATAACATCCAAAATAAAATACTGTTTATTAATATACAACGCAAAACGCAATATGGTCAATCGAGTGATTAGCCAATACAATGGTTCAGCTTTTTGGCGAAAGATGCGAAAAAGCTCACCCAATCCGCGTAGAATATGTATCCTTTGTGACGCTTGACATTGCCACAAGACTCGATGACGCGTGTTGTTTGTCACTGTCGTTCTTCTTTGATGATGCCGATAAACTGTGATAATGGAGGACATTTCGTTACTGTGCCGCATGCTGCACAATTCCAGAGGTCTTTTTGCGCTGTTGCTTAAGTTTGCTGGGGGCGACGACTTGTTTTCTTCCCGGATGTTCCAATATTACGTGTCGCTCATGCTCACCTGCGATCATCCATCTTCTCCTGCTTGACAGGAGGGTTCTTGCTCTCCTACGTGTGCCTTGCTTCCCCTATATAGCATTTCCTGCAGTTGCACGGTAATTTGAAAACCCAGCCTACAGACTCGTTATTCTCAGACTTACTTGATAACGCATCAAATCCACTACAGCTTAACTATATAAAGTTCACATCATATTTAATGTTAAGTAATCTATGTAACTATTCAATACAGTTCTCATGACGAGGTAGAAGTAAGGTTGTTATTTAATATTTTTTGACATCATTACTGCATTGAATAGATTTAAAGTAACTTACCAATTAACTTACTCCACGATTTCTGATACAATTAATGAATTCGACTGGTTAATCATGTTATTAGGTTAATTTAACATGCTATATTTTCTCCTTAAGAAATTCATTACCACATAGCTTCAGCGCTCTGTCTACAAGCTGTAACAACAGAGTGTTTACTATTTAAATGATTACGAGTCGAATTTTACTGTAATCAAGATAGCGAAATATATCGAGATATATAGCGAAATCTGCTTAGTTAATCAGAAAGTTTCGGTGTGAAAATGAATTCAGTTAATTATTTTATTGCGTAGTAAAAGACAGGAAAGCTTAATTAAACTGTTTGTAAGATTTCCGTAACACTTTTCAGCAGTTCAGTCAGTTTTGAAAAAACCGTAAATCCCTAACGTTTCGCGCCTCATCGCGTTGGATTACTTTCTTCGTCTTCGTTAAACCGTCGTTCAGTTTAACCAAACTATTACAATAACAGTATGCTAAGATATTTTTGCAATAATGATGAAGGAAAAAAAGTTTGTACCTCCTATGATACAGGCCTTTGTCACACTTCCATGATTACAATTTCACGGAAAAACATCTGTCACACCCTTCTTTTCACTTAATGATGCGACGTCGATCTCCATGTTTATTCCAGCAACAATGGGTGCCACAATTTAAAAAATTTCTACAGCTGTCAGTTATAGCGCAGGCTCATTTATCTATGTCAGAAGGACGAAATGCAATTGACGCGATTGAGGCCTTTGCTTATTATCATTTTACTGTGACTGAAGCGATCGATTGACAAAGCAACTCCTATCGATCATAGTCAAGGAAAGTATGTTCACCAGCCTCAGATTTGCACTCGAAAGTTCGCCGATTAGAATTCAAATACGGCAACTAACAAATCACTGTTTAGAAGTAGATAATAACTACCCTCATATCGAAGAGAAATGAAACGCTAAACTGTAAATACAGTTTTCAGAATTAAAGTACTCCTTGACGGTGGCATTGAAGTGCAGATCGAAGTAGCGCTAGAAGTTTATTGAAGGTAGAGTGCTTTCAGGGGGGAACATTATGAAAGCAAAGAAGCCAAATTTCCAAACGGTTGAAATGGAGATATATTAGAGGAGCGTAGAATAACTGTCTTTCTCTGTAAATCGAGCGAGCCGTTGTTACATAGCAAATTTTGTGCGCCCTAGTTGGCCATCCGCCATGATAAAATACAATATTGTGACTGGCTCAGAATCAACCGTGGGCAACCTGTGACAAAGTTTTTGTACTGTAACACAGAATCAGACAGGAACAGACTGCAAGACTAAATGCTAGCATCAATGTCAATGCATCAACGTACCTTTAGGACTGGCATAACAGCTACGTTAGTCCATCAGCATAGTTCACATTTTCGTAGAAGCCAAAACACCTTAGGCATAAAAGGTTACAAATCGATTTTGATCATGAAGAAAGAAGTCGAAATGATTTCCGACCGCTGCAGATAAATATGTACCCGTTGTGCTGCAACTTCAGGCCGTAGACACAACTTATCTTTCAAAAAATCCCCCCCCCCAATGTTTCTGGCAGGTTTACAAAACTTTATACACATAATTCAACAATACAATGGATATTACAATAGTTACAATTTTAAATCAGCTTCACGAGTGAATTTCAGTTTCTAACAACGTTTAAACAGTGCGATTTACTGTTACAATATAGGATTCGTTGATGATAATAGAAAGATATAGATTAGTCAAAATTATCGCTGTCACAAGACTTGCAATGAAACAAGCTATATCGCTGAATCCACAGCGTAAAGGCCATATGAGCCTCTGACGATTCAGCCATGCAAAGTTCATGCCAGGTTCATCAGTTTCCCGATCACAGAGCTGAAATGCAGCGAAGGAAGCAAAATTTGACAGCAGAAAAAAATGTTTTCAAAAGCATTATTCAATCTCATAATTGTCAACTTAGTAGCTGTCACTTTCCCTGATATCCGCGAGACCATCATTAACCGTCTTTTCAAACTCACCAGAATGCAAACTGTCCAAAGGAATTTTTACTTTTGCTAGTTTAACACTTCTAAGATTTCTGGGTAAAACAGACTGATGATAAAGTTACTGTCACCGCCAAAAACTTGACTGCACTAATGCAACATAATACTATACGTACCACAGTTGATGCCGATAACCAATCTCCCGAAGATCAGGAGCCAGTAGCTGTTCGCAATTTTGCAGAATCCCATAAGACAGGCAGCAAACAAGGCGATTATGTTGTTCAACAGCATACCTCCTTTCCTAAACCGAAGATTAGAAAAGACTCAGCCATTTAGTCATCAAATATCTAATATTATTATATTTCAATTTAAACTACGCAAACTCTAGTACTGTCACATATGTTTGAAGTAAATTATGGGAGTGTGAAATGTGAAACTTTAGCAGCGTAATATCAATGTATTTCAATTCTTTAGCTGACCATCCCTAACTGACAATGTTCTAAGCTTGTCAAACGTTATATAAGATGGGTGGATTAATCATTTGCAGCAACACTGAAACTATCTTACTATCTTTAAAAGTAAAACTTTAAATTGTACGACTGAAAGTTAAATTAAATCACTTATACAGTGCGTCAGGTAGTTCAATGTATCTAATAATCTAGTTCTTGATTGCTGCGGAATTATGAGTATGGCGTAATTCTACCAATTTACTATTAGATCAAAACACCTACTGGTCCACGATGAATCTATCAATTTTAGTGCTAGTTAAA